TCTCTCTCTCCTTCAGAAATAAATAAACATTAAAAAAAATTTTTTTTAATCATCCCACCACACTAGCTTCCTCCAGGTTTGCTCAGGGCTGGTCAGGAAACAGGCAGAATGGGCAGTGTCAGACATAAATTTGGAACCCTGAATTCAAAGGTCAGCCTGTCGTCAAGGCAATGAGTCTCCTTAAGAGAGGCGGCCTAACAGGGGATCCCATGGATGGGGGCCCAGGGTTAGGAAGACAGGAGCACGTGGGGCAAAGCCCACACGGCCCCTGCATAGGATGGGGGCTAATGGCCACAAACATAGCCTGGGTCCTGGGGCCCAGGAGGGCAGGGAGGCAGTGGGGCACAGGGCTAGGCCAGGGAAGGGATCCCGGGCAGGTGGACATACTTTCCCCAAAGCGGGCTGGTCGTCAGTGTCCCTGATTGCAGATGACTGACTGCCCGTGTTCTAAGCCCACCAGGGAAGCAGGACAGACGGTCACTTCTCTCGAGGGCCTCTTGCCCCACCATTCAGGCAGTGCTCTATGCCCTCAGCCCTCCTACTCTCACCAGGGCTGCTGCACCCCACATCATTGCCATCTATGGGACCTGGGCCTCCACACCCAGCCAGGGCTCTGTCATGGGTGACCCACAGCTTTAACAGCTGTTGCGTGATTGTGGGCCACAGACTCTGCAAGAACAGGGGTCACATCCACCTTTTTCCTGTTGCACACCTAGCACCTTGCTCAGCGCCTGGAGCACAATGGCTGCTCGAGAAAGATCCACGGAGGAAGTCACCGGCTGGGTGGATGGATGGATGGATGAAAGGCAGTTTCTCTTGCACTACTGGCCTTCCCAGTTTCCATCTCCCCAGCCAGGGGCCACCTGGGACTCCTCCGGAACCCACTAGGGGAAGAGGAAGGGGAGAGGGCCCGAAACTGAAAACTTGCAGCCACACGGGGACATCTGAGGGAACATACATGCAAAGTGCCCGGCTGTGCCTGACCCGGTGCTGGGTTTTGGGGGTATGGGGGTGGTCAGACTCCACCTGCTGTAAAGGCAGATAAATGACCCCTTGGTTGAAAGTCATGCTTCGGAGAAAGCCAGTCATAGAGACAGAAGCCCAGGGAAGGCGGAGGAGAGAAATCAGAGCACTGCAGCAGTAGTCAGGGCCTCCTGGGAGAGAAGCAGAGCCTGGGCCGCCCCCTTCCACCTCAGAGTTCTCTCGGGTCTCCACGCCCATTCCTCTGTCCCCGAAGAGTTGAGGGGGGAGGGGGCGGAGCCGGCCCTCCCCCTGCCCACTCCAGCTGTCAATCTGCTGTCTGGAAGAAAGACTTGAAGCTTCATGACAACTGTGGGCAACTTTCCTCTGCCCCGCCTCCCGCCCCTGCCTGCCCTCTTGCCCTCTCCTCCCATCAGCGCCCTTTCCAGACTGCTGGGAGCCTGGCTCCCCTCCCTCTCTAGCTACCTGCTGTCCCCTCTTCCTCCCTTCCTCCCTCCCTCCCTCCCTTCCTCCCTCCCTTCCTTCCTTCCTCCCTTCCTTCCTTCCTTCCTTCCTTCCCTTCTGCTCCCCTCCCTCCCTCCCTCCTGCCTTCCTTCCTTCCTTCCCTGTCTCCCTCCTTCCACCCTCTTTTACTCTCTCCTCTGTCATCTCTTCCAATTCCCACAGCTGTGAAACCTGTGTGACCTTATAGTTTCTAATGATTCAATGAGATTTGAAGCTTCCATCCAGGGCAAGATCTTTCATAGGCTGAGTGTGCACTGTGTCTGTGTGCATACCTGTGTGTGCATCGGCAGCAGAGAAGTCTCTAGGGTCTCTAACCCCACTGAGGGTCCGACGCCTTCCCCAGGAGGTGGTCACTGGGTTACTGACACCCTCTGAGCTGGGCTAGGGGCCCATTTTGCCCAGCTTCTGGGACCTGGGTGCTCCCGGGTACAGGAGCCTCCCCTGGGGCTTAGCAGGTTCAGGGAAAAGATCAAAGTCCATAATTAAATGTTCGTTCAGGGCAAGTTAAGTGCTCCAAAGTTTGGTGCTAAAAATATTGTATTTAGCATGCAAATTATGCCCTGACAGCTCCCCGGAGCCTGAGCCCGTGGGAGCCGGCACCTTGTTTGTCATCATCGCTGTTATTCTCAAGGTAGTAAGAATATTCCTCCTTTGCCAGGTTGATTTATATTTCATTTCTTAAAGCCAAATTTCTGTTTTCAGGGCAATGCCAATTTGTGGCCCCAGAGAGCTTGGAGCTGTGACTGATCGGGAGGCCAAGAGGAGGGGGACCACCTAGGTCATGTCACACAGGCCCTCCCTGCCTCCCCAACCTGCTGCAGAGGAAGGGAGTCCTGATGTGAGCCAGAAGTCAGGGCAAGGGGCTGACACAGACACGGACACAGCCGGCAGCTCAAAGGGCACCTTTTCCATGGAGCCTTTTCTCTGCATGGTGGGTCATAAGAGCTGAGGTCCTTCAGAGGTGCCAGGACCTGGAGAGGAGGAGGTGGGAAGTGGGGACAGCCTGGCCTTCCTACAGGAGGGATCAGGGGAGCCCTGGGTGTGCTCTGGGATTCCCACTGGGAACTTTGTCCCGTCCCATCTTGGTTGACAGTTGAGGCTCAGGGCCAGCCAGCAGCAGGGCTGAGAGCATTCAGGTCTCCTGGGCTCAAGGGATGGGGAAGGGGAAAACACAGGCGCACATATCCTCTCCCCAGTCCTCCTGGAGCACCTCCTTTCCCCCCCACACCCCCCCCCCGGCGTCCACCCTGGTGGCTGTGGCCAGGGTCTTCCCTTTGTGGGAGGGGGGCTGCGGAAGGCTCCCCCAACTCTGATCCCAGCACAGACACCTGCTGCGGAGGACAAAGTTCGGTACCGGTTCCCTTCCACCCGAGGGGCCTCGCATATGACTCTTGTCAAAGTTTTATTAGTTTGGAGCATGTGTAGTGATGTTACAGAGTCTGGGACCCAGGGCCCCGCCCACAAACTGCAACCTCCCTCCTCCCTCAGGGCAGGGCCAGCCCAGGCTAAGTGGTATTCAGCAGCCCCCTCACCATGGGCTCCTCTAAGGCGGAGAAAGTGGAAGGGGAAGGGGGCAGGAGAGAGGAGAGGCAAAAGGCAAAGGAGAGTGGTTTTGCGGCAGAGTGTGGCAGGAGGCAGTCCCCCAGAGAACCAACATCCACCCCGGACCCCGGATGCGGCCACAAGCCCACCTTCCCTGCCCTCTCACAGGTTGGCCCAACAGTTGCTAGAGAAGGGACGCACCGAGTCAGTTAGGAGGCAGCAGCATGGGCTTGGGGGACGTTCCGCTCCCCGCAGACCTTCCTGGGGCCTTTCAAGCCCAAGGTTCCTGCCCTCAGCAGGTGTGCAAATCACATGGGTTGCTGGAGGCACAGTGGGGTGGGTGGGGTGGGGTGGGAGCCACTGCTGTGGAAACAGAGGCTCCCATCGGGCAGGAAAGGAGTGGATGAAGATTTTTGGCTTGGGCTTCTCTGGGGCTCACCCTGTGGTCTGGTATTTACATGGGTCTCCCAGGACTGAGTTTCCTGGGGCCTTGGCAAGAGCTCTGGCTTCCCAGGCATGGGCCTTGTGGGGTGGGAACCGTCCATCCCTCCACACTGCCCGCTCCAGCACAGGCCTACGAAGACCAGGCCCAACCCCACAGAAAGCACAGCCTCTGAGCCCTGCCCCTGTTCCTGGTGACCCCAGAAGCCCAGAGAAAGGTCAGAGAAGGCGGCTGTGTCTTTGGTGCCAAGGGGAGAGGGCCTAGAGGTGGGAGGGGGGGCTCTATGAGCTGCCCCTGAGCCAGGGGTCCAGCCCTTGGGCTGGCACCGTGCCTGGCTCCCCAGCACTACCCTGGCGGAGTGAGGGTGTGCGAGCTCTGAGGGGCGTGGAGTCAAGCTAGAGCCTGCCAGGGACAAAGAGAAGGCCGAGTCCGCCCTGCACCACCCCCATCCACGGCTCCCAGGAACGGAGACCCGGCTGGCCTGGGCAGGGAGGCGGGAAGCGGGTCAGCAATGCAGGATCTTCATGAAGGCCTTGCGGAACTCAATGTTGAAGGTCGTGTAGATGATGGGGTTCACGGCACTGTTGACATAGCCCAGCCACGTGAAGGCGCTGTACAGGACGGGCGGGATGTTGCAATCACAGTGTATATTCAGGATGTGGGTGATGAAGAAGGGCAGCCAGCAGATGATGAACACGCCTGGGGGAGAGGGCGGCAGTCAGGCAGGGAGAGGCTGGGCTGGGAAGGCCCGCACAAAGACAGACCCCGGCCCAGGAGCCCTGCAGGGGAGGCAGAAGGAGGGGGCAGGGGAGGCAGGGGAGTCAGGGGAGGCAGGAGGAGTCTCAGCCTCAGATTCTAGAGCCTTCTCTGACACCCGTTTGCAATGAAGGCCACTTTCCTTCCCTCGGCCTCATTTTCCTCACCTGTCAAATGGGTATAATAACACCTACCCCACAGGGAAGGATAGTGGACTTGAAGACAAATCCACGAGGTTAACATTCTGACACAAGTCAGTAGAGACGGTGATATGTACTCTACTTTCTGGTCATCTCTGAGAAACACATCTTCCTCAGAGACCGGAAGTGGAACATTTGGTCACTGCAGGTTGGGGATGCACCGTTTGGGCCCGAGGGACAAAAGGGAGAGCTAGATACCCATCTCACTTAGGCTCCTGGCATCCCTGTGAGGTGGACGGGAAACCGAGGCTCCCACAGGCCCTGTGATGTACACAAGGCCACCCCATTCATGAGGGATGAAGTCAAGACCCGCTGAGTTCCAGTCTATTGAGGTCTGTCCCACCAGTGGCCAGGCTCTCCCTATGCCTTCCCCAGCCCTTGGGGGGTACCTCTTCCTAATTGCTGCTTTGGGACGCTCTGACCTAGACTAACCTCCCTCCCGCCTGCTTTGTCCATCTGACTCAGGACCTCGTGCTCTGGCGGGACTCTTGGCATGGTGGCATCATGAGCCCAGAATGCCCCACAAGCACCCTGGGAGTCCCCAGGACTGAAGAGAGACCCCACGGACCAGAGCAGAGGGCACAGCTACAACCCTCCTCTGTCATCCCCAGCCGCATGATCAAGGCTCTGTCCCTTAACCTGCGGTGACCCTGTGCGTACGTTCATAAAAGCAGGGTAGTAACTCTGGTCCCACTCACGCCACAGGACTGGCCGGAGGTCAGAGGAGATGGTGGGTCTGGAAGGGTGCCCCGTGATAGCCTGGGTGCTGCAGGGAAGGCACAGTCACATTGGCCCCTCCTGTTCCCAACCAGCCACATCACATCACGTCCAGTCTTGTGTTTTGACTCGCCATCTGGGGTTTTCTAGGAAACTTTTATTTGAAAGCCTTGCCTGGCTGACAGAGCCATGCCCTCATTCAGATGGCTCCCCCCTCCAGCCCCCTTTCCTTGTTCACAGCTCTGGTCCCACAGGGTCTTGGTTGAGCTGAAGTGAATTGAATTTCCAGTTCCTCAACAATAGCAACATTACCCAAACCATACTGATAACACATCCCTGTGTATACTGCTTTGCACTTTACAAAATGCTTTCACCTTCGTGTACCATCTGACCACCACAACAGCCCCGAGAAGCAATCTCCTGCTGAGGGGACTCCAGAGAGAGATGGTGACTGGCCCAGGACCATGATGCTCTGGAGGTCACCATGGTTGACTGGCCAAGCTCACTGACTCTGAAGTCAGACTCCCTGAGTTTAAATCATAGGTCTTCCTTGGGCATGTTATATACCCACTCCAGACCTCAGTTTCCCCATGAGTAAAAGGAGCATAATTATAGAATCTACCAAATGGGGTACATCAGTGGGAGTGGCCTGCACCTGAGAAAGTGCTGGTCCCCTGGCCCACCAGCCATGGTTAGGAAGGGGATGGCAGGTAACAGGACCCATCCTGGTGGGCGGACCCATGGTGATGGTGATGGGTCCTTTCCTCGGTGATGGCTGGACAGAGCCGGGCTGTGGCCGTCGGCCAGCCTGACTCACCGAGAACAATGGCGAGCATCTGGGTGGCTTTCTTCTCCTTCTGCTGGGAGAGCTTCCTGCGGCTCATGGTCTTGAGAGAGGTCCGGGTTTTGCCATTGGGCATGGACTGGATCTCAAAGATCTTGGCAATCTTGGGGTGGTCTTTGGCATGCCCATTCTTCTCTGGTTTGGCGGGGCTGTCGGCCGTGCTGTGGAGGCCGTGGTGGGATGGGTCGGGGAGGGTCAGCTGGTGGTGGCTGGGCGGTATGGGGCTGTACCGGGTCCTCTCGGGGGGGCTGGTGCTGGACAGCATCTCCATCTCTAGTTCCTGGGCTCGGCGGGCAGCCTCCTGCACAGGGGCAGAGAACTCTGGGTAAAGCCAGGCCAGTTCACAGGCATTAGCCACGCAGCCTCACCTGGCGCCACCCGGCCCTGTCCTCTCCTCCTTTAGAGACTCCCGCAAACACCACAGGGTCACTCTGCCGAACACGGGGAGGTCGGGACGGTCTGGGCCCCAGGGCAGTCCCTGCCTGCGGGGTCATCCCCAGCACTTGGCCCCGAGCAATACTTATGCAGCCTCAATAACCCCACAACCATCTGTGAGGGCTTATTACCCCAGCATTTCTCTCTTATTGACTGAGCAACACTTACTGAGTACCAGTGAGCGCCAGGCACTGAGCTGGCTGCTGGGAATACATTACTGGTTTGGCATCCAGTGCCTGCCTGCAGGAGCTCATGTTCTAACTGCATAGAGGGTACCCCTGTTCTTCCTGCTGGGCTGAATCGAGGGGCCACCAGGCAGACCTGAGACACCCCACCACATTCTCCTTGTAGACTGATCCCCGTGCCAAAGGGCTAATCCCAGGGCTCCCCCCAGTCTTTCCTGCCAAGCTGACCTGGCGGCCTTGGTGGGGATCCACTTATGGCCTCCCAGGTTCCCCAGACCGTGCAGTGTCAGCTTGAACTTCTCAAATGCAGCCTTGCTCTGCCCCCGGGGGGGGGGGGGGGGGGGGGCGGGGGGGGGGTGGTGGTGGTGGTGATATAACTCAGCTGCTGCCCCCGTCCCAGTCCTGAATGCCCGTTTGGCACCCATCTCATAAAGGGAGTCCTACCCTTGCCGTGCAAGTGAACAGTGGGGACCCCGCTTCCTGTGGACACCTGACCTGAACTTCGTGTGCGGCTCTGGGTGGGTTCCCTGGCCCAGCTGGGGCTGCGGCACCTGCTGCTGGGACCCTGCTGCTATTTCCTCTGGGCAGAGCCTGGGGTCTGCTGTGCTTCCACGTCTCCAGGCTCTACTTTCGGGCTGCACTGCCCCACCAGCCCCAAGGCTGCTCTGCTCGCTCCCCTACTCACCCCCTCCACGCCCAGCCTCCAGCCCCAGAACCTGCCTGTAGTAAGGAAGCACATGCAAGAGGGAAGAGCAGCATGGGAAGAGGCGCGGACTTCGGAGTCATGTGGGTTTGGGCTCAAATATGCGCTATCTCACTGTTTCGCCTCAGGTGAGTTACCTACCCTCTCTGAGCCTCTGTTTCCTCTTCCATAAAGTTAAAATCAATAAGCTCAATAAGACTTACCTCTCAGGGTCGCTGTGAGGATTTGATGAGACAGTAGGAACACGGTGGGTGTTCAGTGAATGGTAACAGCCACTCTTCTTATTTGAATTATGTTATTACGGCCAAGTCCTCTCTCCCAACCATTTTCTTGCGCTAGGGGTGCCTATCTGTGCCTTGCAGAATCGAGCCGTCTTGCTGCATGCCTGCTTGTGAGGTGTGCATGGTGAGTCTGGCCTCAGAGGCAAAGTGGGGGAGCCTGGGATGTGCGCTGCCGGTGGGGTTTCTGAGAATCACGGCAGCTGGGTTTCCCTAGGGGCGGAAGGACCTGGCTCTGGTCCCTGACCTGAGCACTTACCACTCTCCTCCTGTTCACTGGGAAACTCCCATTGGACTTGATGATAACGGTGCAGAGTTTCATATCCTCGGGGTGAGTGCAGGTGCCCTGTGGAGTGAGCCAGTACACTGGTCATGACGGGCAGGCAGCTGGGGACAGACACCCAATGTGGGGTGGTCAGGCTGGGCACCGGGGCTCAGAGAAGGGCAGAGGAGGAGTTGGTCCTGTGAGGGGAAAAGGTGGGCAGGACGAGGGACAAACGGGCCCTGACTTTAATGGGGTACCTGTTAAGGGTCTGGCACATGCTAGACATATTCATATCCCTCTCACATTGAATCCTCAAGACCACGCTGAGAGGCTGGCATTATGATTCCCATTTAACAGATGAGGAAACCGAGGCTCAGAGAAGTTAAGCAACCTGCCCAAGGTCACTCAGCAAAAAAGGTGGCAGTGCCAGGCCTTGAACCTGATGTGTCTAACCCCAAGATCCTTGTTCCTTCCAGGCCCACATACTGTCTTCCCATACAGGGAGGGCTGAGCAGAGGGGAGAATTCACAAGACATAAGGGGGAGGCAATGGAAGCAAGGTGGAGGAGAGGAGGAGGAAAGAGCGGGGAGGAAGGAGGAGGTGCACACAGAGGGGAGCACAGGGAGCATGGAAGGTAAAGGGGAGGGAGGGAAGCACAGAGGGAGGAAAGGCAGAGAGAGGGGCCACAGCAAGGAAGGACAAGTGATGAGAAAGGAAGGAGAGGAGAGGGTGCATTCAGACAAGGATCTCCAAGCAAAGACTTCTCCCAGATGGTGTCCACCACCTGCCCTGCCTCCATCCGGCTCCTGGAGATTCGGTCATCCCACGGAGGTCCATGCCTTCAGACTGTGCCCTGCCCAGGTCCAGGTCCGTGGAGCCCCCTCCAGCCTAAGCCCCGCCCCACTGCACTGCCCTGGGCCTCCACCTGCGCCTGGGCAAGCTCCCTTGATAATGGTGAGGTGTGGGCGTTGGAGGGGGTGGGGGATCTGGGGACCTTGAGCGGGGCCTTCAGGTTGGCCCTAAAAGCCCGGCTGCTGCGCTTCGTGTTGACCCGTTTGCGGCGCCTGCGGAGGACGATGTAGATCTTGATGTAGACCAGCAGGGTGACGATGAAGGGCACGTAGAAGGAGACGATGGAGGAGTACACCACGAACGCGGGGTTGGCGATTATGCACTCGTTCTGGTCTGGGGGGGGGGGGGAAGGAGAGCCCAGAGGGGACGTCAGCATCCCACGGGGCCACAGCGCCACAAGAGACCTTTCCCTCCTCTGCCAGACTCCAGCAGCGAGGTCACAGAGAGTACGCCTAGGTGTCTAAGGCCACCTGGAAATGCTAGATGTAAATGAACGTGCACGGTAAACCAGAGATTTCAAATCACAGCTGTGAGCAAAAAGCTAAGCTCTCATGGACTACTTCTGAGTTTTCCCATTAACGTTCCCTCCTTATTTCATTATTAGTTTTATTGCCCATGAACACATGAGTGGGGCCAGTGTGCTTGGAAAAAATAACAGAAGGAAATTATTGTCAAAGAGTAAACCCTTATTTTAACCCTTGCTGTATACATGGGGGCGGTCTACCACCTTTCAATTTTAGGGACAAGGTGACTTGGTCCTATTTGCTCAACCCTGTGTTCTGATGTGTTTCCAAGTTCCCTTCCTGGTCTAGAAGATGTCTGACTTCTATCTCAGGGCCTTTCCAGATTGATCTGAGCATATGCTCAGGGAATAAGCCTATTCCCCACGTCTTGGAATTCCTACAAGAGGTACTTTGCAAGGTTTCTTGGTGTCCGGCCCTGTAAGGGTCTCCAGAGGTGCACCTGCCTCACTGGAGCCTGCCTGATGAGAGAATGCTCTCTGCCCACGCCGGCAGGCAGGCAGGCCAACGCCTATTTCCTCTACGTCAGACACACAGGACAGGTGCAGTGGGCTAGCTTCTATTATTTCTACCTCTCCTGCTCCAGAGGACTCAGGTCTGTGCAGAGCTGGGCCAGCTTGGACTGCAGCCTCATTACCACAAACAGCATCACCGTGGGGTGGGGATGGGACCCCGTAGTCACCCCCTATGTGTGCACATGCACGCGCACACACACACACACACACACGCAAACACATGCAGTTGGTGGGGCTGTCTGGCCTGTTTCGGTTAAATAAACAAAGTTGAAAATGGCCAGACATCCTCCTGAATCATTACCCCCACTCCTCACGCAACCCCATTATGCCTCAAGCTACTGTTCCTCTCTGGCCCATCCAGGCACAACTGAGAGTCAGGCTTGGCCGGGGAGACCCAGCTTGGTCTCAGCCTAGGCTGGCAAACAGGTCATCCCCCTAAGTCTGCGCCAGGGGCTCAGCTCTCTCGGGGTCCCGTGCAGCGAAGGGGGGCAGCGGAACCCCAGGCAGACAGAGACAGGACTCACCTGTGTTGTTGAGTCCGAAGAGCAGTGGGCAGGAGATGGTAAAGGACAGGACCCAGACGATGGCGATCATGACAGTGACTCGGCGCTTGGAGCTGTAGCGGGTGTTGTAGAGCATGGGCATGGCCACGGCTGTGTACCTGCAAGGTCACGGGGCAGGGGACCCTGAGTCTGGGGTGCAGGCCCAGGAACTCATTCCACAGCAGGCACACACCAGAGACACCCCACACCTTGGGGAGTTCCAGTTGTCTGAAATTCTCTGAAGGCTGCCTGTCTACCCTAAATCACTCCTTTCTCCTGCCCCAGCTCAGACAGCAAGGGTAGTTGGTGATACTTTGGTGACTGACCGGCTACCATGTAATCCTGGGCCATATCTATTACTCCAGTGTCCCTACTTGGATTTTAAGGTTTTTGAGGGACCAGGGTCTGGGTCTTTGCACCTTTGAAACTGCACCCATGCTGTGCTCACAGAAAGTGGAAGCGTTTGTTGACAGATTGGTAGCCAGGCTCCTCGGAGAAAGAATTCAGCCCCATTCAGCAGAAAATAATAACGGTGGAAATCATTCGCCTCCTTGACCCAGCACTTCTCATATAGTAGCTCATTTCATCTTCCAAGAATCCTGCCAGGGGAGCCCAGCCAGGGGAGCCCACGTGGCCTGCGTGTGCAAATCAGTGAAAGGCTCCAAGGGTATAGTTTAACAAAGTGAGCACAACCCGGACCCCCTTGGCCGTGTGCCTGCCCTGTGCTGGACAGGAAATGCACAACCGGACACTGTGGCCCCCCGTGGACAGGGGTCATCATCCTTGATTTCTAGATGAGGTAGGGTTCTGAGAATGTGCACATTCTGCCCAAGGTCACTTAAGTAGGAAGCGATAGACCTAGGGCTGCCGTCAACATTGGGAACTTTCTCCTCTTTACCAGTCTCTGCTGGGTATCCTTGGTAGCATCTCCATCTGTACCATGGCCTCTCATGAGGTGGTCTGGACTCTCCCAGCCAGATCCACGTGCACCTATATGCATGTGCAAGTACACATGTGCACACACACATGGACTCACAGGCACACAGCCTGCCTCTTCAGCCCGAAAGGCCAATGGCTTGGGTCCCCTCTCCCACCTTGGCTGGGCTCACCTGTCGATGCTGATGGCACATAGGTTCAGGATGCTTGCTGTGCACATCATGACGTCCAGAGTGACAAAGATGTCACAGTGAATCCTGCTGAATTTCCACTCGCCCACCACCTAGGGACAAAGCACCGTAAGGGGGGACGGAAGAGGGACGATGAGCTCAGGCCGCATAGTTTGGCTCTCCTGGGGCAGGCTGGGCCACAGGCCCAGAGGGCAGCTGTGGGGGTCTTGCGGGTCTCCAGTTGGGGCCCGGGAGAGAAGTGGGGCAGCAAAGGGAAGCTGTGCCCCTGGCTGTCTGAGGCACTTGTCCCTGCTCCCCTCCCCTGCTAGACACATAGGGCCATTTTGTGCCAAAAACCGGACAGGAAGAATGATGACCAATTTACACCTCGTGCCTCAACTTTGAGCCTTCGTCTGTAAAACATCCGTGTGATCTACCTGCATCCCATTCTGCCAATGGAGAAACTGAGCCTCAGAAATGGGCAGTGACTTGCCCAAGGCCATTCCGCTCAGCTTCTGATCCTGCCCTGATCCTAGGCTTCTGGGGGAGCCAGGGAGCTCCTTCGGGACCAGCATGGTGTGTGGCCCAGTTGGGGCCCAGCGAGTGTCCGTTAAGGACAACGGTGAGGACCATGGCTCTGAGACAAAGAAGACAGTTCTGCTCTTTGTCGCACCTGGAGAATTCAGGACGGAAAACCTGGGCTCAAGCTCTGGAAACACCAGGAGGGGGTGGGGAGGGGTGGCTGTACCCATACATCCTTGTATGATGGAACTGAGGAGGCCCACTCCTGCACCCCTCTCCCCCTTACACACACAGACACACACGCACACACGCTCACTTTCCCGTACGCCCATGCACATCCATACCACCCATTTAAACGCACAGGCACACACACTCACGCAGCGAGCTGGCCCAGGCAAATTTGGAAGTGTGGAACACCCTGACCCTGACCCTGAGACATATCCTAGGCCTCTACCAATAGGAGAAAAAGGAGCAGGAAAGCCCCCCTCCCAGGGCCTGGGGCAGGGCAGTGCCCATCCTTCTGTCATAGCACTGTCAGCCATCAGGCTAATTGGAACATGCTCATTCCCAGTGCTGCCTCTTTTTTCTGCTTGCAGGCGTGAAACCAAATGCTGGCACCTAAGCTCGGTGACAGGAACTATAGCCACTGATGTTGGACGTGAAGAAACAGCAGCTGGTCCCAGAAGACAGGAAGGAAGCTGCCTTCTCTAGGCTCACGTGAGCCCACATCACAGCACAGGACTCCCCAAGATGGCAGGTCAGGTCTGGATTGGGGGGTGAGGAGCTCCGGGTATAAATAGAGTCTACCTGTAGGGCACTGCTAGGAGGGTGCCAGACCCACCTGGTCCACCCTCCACCTTGAGGCCCGCCCCGCCCCCCCCCGCAGACGAGTACTTCAGAGCTGTTTCTATGTCCCTAGGGATCCGGGTCTGAGCTGCCAGGGCCCTCGCCCTCTTCCTCTTCCTCCTTCCCTCTCCCCTGCCTTCCATCTTTCCTACAGACACTTATGAGCAACTTACTATGGGCCAGACTCTGTCCTAGACTCTGGGGTACAGTGGTAAACAGTATTGGCATAGTCCTTGCCTTTAGGGAGCTCTCAATCCCTACCCCTAAAGGCCTGTCTGGAGCACAGAAGAAGGGAGGGCTTTCCTCCACAGGCCTGGGGGCAGCTGACTCAAAGACTCGAGAGAAATTTTTGGCAGCCATGTACATTGACGGGGGGTGCCTGGGTGGCTCAGTCGGTTGGGCGTCCAACTTCAGCTCAGGTCATGATCTCACAGCTCGTGAGTTCGAGCCCCGTGTGGAGCTCTGTGCTGACAGCTCAGAGCCTGGAGCCTGCTTCTGCTTCTGCTTCTGTGTCTCCCTCTTTCTCTGCCCCTAACCCACTAGCATTCTGTCTCTGTCTCTCTCAAAAATAAATAAACATTAAAAAAAAATAAAAAAAAAAAGAGTAAAGCACATCCAATCCAATCTAGCACGCTAGACACGTGCTGACATGGCAGGCTGTGAGAGGCACTAGTATTGCTGGGAAGGGAACAGGGTGGAAAATTCTGGACAACAAGAGCATCTCTTAGAAAGGAAAGAGTATATGGGCTGCAAGAACACTCTGACAGGATGTTGGGATAGGCTGAGACTCCCCTCGGGACAGTCTCTCAGGACAAAAAATGGCTGGGACAATAACCTGTAAGTCGAGCTCACTGTCCAGCTCTTGTTTAAAAGGGAAATAATGAGAAAGTTAGAGCACTACCCTCCATGATACTGTTCTCCACCCTGCCCCCCAAACCACTGCGCTTCCCCCTTAAAATAACGGTGAACTGGTTATGTTGAAAGTATCTGTTCACAGGACTTACAGATTCTCAGAAACCCCCAGTACAGCCTGTGTACAGATGTGGCTCTATCCTAGAGTGTCGTGGGAGAGGCTGCAGATCTGGAAGCCCAGAAGCCTTGCGTGGAGCCACGGGCAGAGCATGCTTCACTGTGGGTAGAGGGCGCCTTGCTGCCTGGGCACGGGGAGGGCCCTCGCTATGAGGACAGGTGCTGGATGGCTACCACCATCACGTTCGTCTTCAGCGCCACTGTCACAGCTGATTTCTACATTTTGCTCACTACAGTGTGCGGTACCAATCTGAGCCCTTTGCATATATTAACTAACTCATTAGATGCTAAAGCAATGCCACGAGGTAGATACTGTGATTATCTCCTTTATATGGATAAAGAAAGTGAGGCACAGAGAGGTTCTTTGCTCTGCCACTCGCCCCTCATTCTCCCCTGATGGTCTGAGGCCTGGGACCCTCCTTTGAGAGGGAGCAGGAAGGGAAGAGGCCTTAGGATTGAGAAGGGTTCCTCAGGGAGAGGCCCTCAGACAAGACGTGCTTGGACAGACTCACGGACGTGTGAGTCGTGGAGGAAGTGGACCCCTGGCCTGTGGCACCTGTAGATTTCATGTTATTTTGCTTGTTTCCTTCGGGGTTTTTCCTTCACATTCATTTTGGACGTCCCAGCCTGTTGGGGCTGTGCTACAGAAAACCAGAGGTGTGTGATCCTGTGAGCATGATGAGGAAGCCCAGGGAGCCCCCGGGTGCAGAGACCAGGAGAGGGGCCACGCTGGGCCAGCCTCCTCTCCCCCACCTCAGCTCCCTCTTCTGGGTGTCGCCTCGGCTCAAGCCTACAAAATGGCATGTTTTCCTTTAAAAGTGGAAGCCCTACCCTCCCAGGCAGGGACTTGCCTCCATAGCACAGGTGTATCCCCCCTATCTTGCCCAGGACGGGAAGGTAAGTGCCCAATGATCGCAGTGACCTTAGTGTTGGCTCTTTCCTGACTGGCTGGTCACTTCCCAGACTCCACCCCAGAATCCTAGGGCAGGATCCAGGACGCAAGACCCTAGACCCTCCCACATCTGCCTGTTGGAAGTGGCTCCCCGGTTACTCCCCTCGCTGTGGGATCTGAGGACAGACAGCTTCTCAAAGCTTCTGTTTCCTCTTCTGTAAACTGAGAAGAAAAGTATCAACTCCCAGGATTAGCATGACTGTTTGCTGAGTCTGTGTCTGCGAAATGCCTGGCGAGGTGCCTGGACCACGGCAGGGGCCGCCCACTCTCTATTCGGAAGTGCAGAGCTGGGCCCCATCCTGGGCCGAGCCCTGGGTGACCATGTGGTCCTTCCCGAGCCAAGGGGCTGTGGCCCAGCCCACAGCGGACCCTGCCTGGAGGTCCCAGACATTGGTGCTAGACCGAACTGGGAAGAGGGGAGGCATAAGGAGCACACAGAGTAGCAGCTCCCACTTTCGAAGTGACAAGAAAGAATGGGAAGCTTCGGGTCTGGATGCATGAACATCTCCCTTCCTTGAGGATCTTCCTCCATCACTCCCATTTGCAGCATGATCTAACCAACCAACCTGGGGCCAAGCCGAGTTCCAGCTGGGACCTGCCAGCTGCATGATGCCGGAAAAGTCACCGAATTTCTCTGACCACCTGGCTCACCATCTGTGAGATGGTGGTAGTCGTGGGGTGACCTCGCAGGGCTGGCCTGAGGGCTACACGGGAAAACGCCAGGGATAGAGGACTCGACCCTTAGTAAGCCCTCTCCAACTGGCAGTTGGGACTGTGAAAGAGGCATTAAGCCCATTTCATAAGGGGAAAAACTGAGCCCGGAGTGGAAGGAGAGGCCAGGCCTGCTGAGAAGGCACCAGGCAATTCATCGGGAAGTGCCTGGACTCCAGGCTCCCCTGCAGCGGAGGGGAAGGCAGACCTACCTCCAGGTAGACAACCCAGGGCATGACGAGCGTGGCCACCAGGAGGTCGGCCACGGCGAGGCTGACGATCAGGTAGTTGGTGGTGGTCTGCAGCGCCTTCTCGCGGGACACGGCCATGCAGACCAGCACGTTGCCAAAGACGATGACGAAGATAAGCAAGGTGAGAAGCGTGGCGTAGTAGTTGTAGTGAGGCTTTCCGGTCCTTCCTTCGGACCCGTTGAAGGGCCGGCTCCAGTTCTGGCTCTCCAGATCATCATCGTACCAGGACAGGTTCAGTGGATCCATCGGGGCAACAGGGCCACTGGGTGGCCAGGCTCTGGCCAGGAAAAACGGACACGGCGGGTGAGCAGGAGGACCTCCCAGAGCGTGCTGCCTCCCACGGAAAGCTCCGGAGCTACAGCCAACCACTGGCAGTTAGTAGAATTCTCCAGCCTCGGGATTTTCAGTTCTGTATTTTAACGATTTTCTTAAAACTCTGGGGCCTGCTGCCACTCTTCTGCTGGCAAGTTCTTGCAGATGGCAAGACAAATGAGCAATTATAATTTTTTTAAAGAAAGTATAATAAAATAAATGAACTTGAAAAGAGCTGATCATTCATTCATCTATTTATTCAACAAACACTTAGTAAGCACATCCTATGCACCACCTCCTGGAGACAAGTTAGTGAGGAGTTCCAGCTTCTAGGGGCAGGAACAGGAATACACATTCATTCCTTCTTGATTCTATAAATATTTATTGAGCACTGTTCTATGTGGTGCTAGAAATATGGGCTGGAACGAAATATACATGGTTCTCCAGCTCACATTCTAAGTTAAAAAAAAATTTAATGTTTGTTTTTGAGAGAGAGAGAGAGAGTCAGAGCATGAGTCGGGGAGCAGCAGAGAGAGAAAGGGAGACACAGAACCTAAAGCCCTTGCTCCAGGCTCCGGGCTGTCAGTACAAAGCCCGACACAGGGCTCGAACTCAAGAACCGTGAGATCATAACCTGAGCCGAAGTCAGAAGCTTAACCGACTGAGCCACCCGGGTGCCCTTACCCAGCTCACATTCTAAAAGAAACAACAGCCCATGAATCAAGCACTTAAATCTATAAGCAGTGGGCACTAGGAAATGGAATGCAGGAGGACCACAAAAGCTAGTTTAAGCATTGAAATAAGACTTTCCAGAGGAAGTGGCTTTTGACAGACAACCCTAAGTCATTAGGTGAAGAGCTGGGAGCCCAGGGAAGTGTCTAGACAGAAGAAACAGCATAAGCAAATGACAGAGCGAGACAGCAGACACCCGGTGGAGGGCTGGAAGAGATTCATTCGGGGCAGCTGAAGCCCGTGAGCTGAACTGGGGAGGGTGCCAGAGCAAGATCCTAGAAGGCCTTCCAAGTCACGCTACATTTGAGCCTAAGGGCAGTGGGAACCACGTGATCAGAGGCGCCTTCCGGTGACAAGGTTCCAACCGCTGTTCAGAGGATGGAAGTGTGTGGCCAAGCAGGTGGCGGCACACCAGCTGGGAGGCTGTAGGAACCCGAGGAAGAGATGAGGAGTTTCTGCATTCCTGCCCTGAGAGCCTGAGAACTTCCTGAAGGAGGTGTCATCTGAGATGCGATCAAAGGAGGAAATAGCCAGGCCACAGAGTTTGGGAGACCCTGCAGCTAGAGAGAACACAACACGGTGCCAGACAACAAACAGTTCTGTTTGGCTAAAAATGTAGGGTGTGAAGCAGGGGCAAAAGAAACCGGGGGGCCAGTCATGGGTCAGATTCTGTCTCATAAGACTGGGAGGCCCTGAGGGGTTGGGTGCAGAGGAAGGACCACGGGGCTGGTGTTTTAGTAAAGTGGCTGCTGCAGCATAGGGAGGCCTTGGAGGAGGCCAGGCTATGGCTGTCATTTGGAGAAGGGAGGGTGGTTGTCTGAATGAAGGTGTCAGGGATGAGGAGAGAAGTGTTCAGAATCAGCGGCTGACCTGTGCATCAGTATCCAATGGATAGATGTGGGATGGGAGAGGGGCCGGGGCAAGCAGAGAGAGTAGGGGTAGAGGGAACAGCATTTCTGCCTTGGGCTTGGTGAGGCTGAGGAGCTGCTCACTGAGAGCAGGAAGCAGAGAGCCTGAGAGGCAGACTTGAGACGCATCAGGCATTGACGAGCTTGACAGCCTGTGTTTTGGTTGTGATTAGAACATAATGCACATATAATATAGCTGACTCTCCTGCTAACAAAAGTGTTCCTATTTTACACGATGGAACCAGGCTTATCAGTACCTCAAAGCACTCTGCCCAAGGTGCCACGACATCCAGTTGCTGGGCTACCCAAAGGGATTTGAAGTCTACTAGTTTATGCCACTTGGGATGGTGGTACCATGTCCAGATCAGGGAGGAGGGCACACCAGCCACAACAGGTCAGAAGGGACTTTAGAGAAGGGTCTGCCCCCCTCTACCCCTCAACCTTATCTGACACATTTGCTCTGCCGGCCCCCAGCAGAGGAGTGTGGATGATGTCCCCACCACCCACCCCCCCCCCCTCCACCCCAGCACCACCACACCAGCCTGGAGTCTCTGGGGAAGCCAAAATACCTAACTCCATGTAGGGTGACATGACATGACGCCAGTGCAAAAATCTTCCAACTCAGAGGCGCCGAGGCCCTGTGTCACACTGACGCTGCCCTCTGCAAAGGCATCGGCCCCTCTTCCCATTTGGAGCACACCCCGGGACAACTATATGCACGTATCCATCAGGAACGGCAGCTGCTCCTGCCTCGTTTTCACACAAGATTGGGAGTCTGTTGAGCTTGTCAGGCATAAAGCAATGTGCCAAGCACTTTCGGGGGCCTGGAGATGTGGAGATCCACTCACTTCCCCCAGGGCTCCTGAAGGTTCTCTCTGCCCCACCTCTTACTTCCCTGGTCCCTCTCTGTAGGGCCAGTGGCCTCTGATGGAGACTGTACGGCTTCCCTTCTACCCCACCCCACCCCTTCTCTATACCCAACCAGACTTCTGTTTCTGTACAATCCTGTGCCTGCCTGTGATGTGGCTTCATATGCTTGTAGAGGATTTGATAGTTTTGTTTGATAGTTTTGTCCTCAAAACAACCTCCAAGGCCTGCAACTATTATCCCCCCTCGACAAATGAGAAAAGTCTTTGGAAAACTTCCCTTCCCCTCCCGCTGCTTGCCCAGACCTGACACGGCCTCCAAAGAAAGGCTAGCTCAGAATCTTCCTGCTTCCTGCTCTCTGCTGGACCACTTTCCCTTGGGGGTTCCACAGCATCATTCCTGAGTTCTATTCTGGAACGCACCCTCTCTGTGTAAGCACACCCCCCCCAACACCCCCTCACTGGAGTGTAAGCATCTTAAGCATTGCACCACATCTTGGTCATGCCTCATCTTCGTGGAATAAACAAATAAAAGAGCATAGTCTCTTGTTCTCTGGGATCTGCAGGTCGTACGTTGGGTTGCTGAACTCAATCAAAGGCTCTGTGAGTCCAGCCGGGAAGAAAAGCCCTCCACCCTTGAGATGTAGCTATAAAGAGAGGCCACCACATTAACAAGTGACAAAAGAGAGAGGCAACCCAAGAGGACCATGGGTGTTGCATGTTGGATCCCCAGAAATAAGACCCTGAGGAGGACACTGGCATGAAGGGAATTTACCGGGGAATGTTCTCAGAATGGAGGCTTGCAGAGAAGGGAGGAGGCAGGGCTGGACTGGGGAGAAGCTGGGCTGCCTGGCAGTCACATCAAAGGTCTCAGGTGACCTCAGAGAGCCCTCAGGGAGCCTGCAGAGCTGTCTCTCTCATAATGTCCTAGGGCGTGGACTGTCCCAGGGAGAAGGTGTGACCTGGAGAGAGACATCTCTCTTCAAGTGAGCATCTGCTAAGAGGGCGGACCCAGATGGAACTGTCCATTGTCAGCAGGCCCAGTAGTTGGGGGAGTGAGTTGGTCATGCACAGGTGCTGGGGCCCACTCTACCACCAGGCGCTGAAGTGGATGCTCAGAAATCACAGAGGATATGTATATGGGCCTGGCTGGGGTGCTCCTGGAGGGCTTCCTGGAGGGGGAAGACTTTCATTCAGGACTTAAAATCATGAGGACAAGTAAGATGGCAAACATGAGCATTTCCACTCAGGGCAGGGTCGGAGGTGAGCACTCATTCCTCTGTGTGCTGGTTACTCTGCAGGACAGGAGTGAGTCCCTTCACCTACAGCTGGGAAGGCTTCATGCATTTAATTTTCTAATCAAGCATTTATTCTATATCTTGTTTTTTTTGCTGAAACAAATGCATTACAGAAAGAATGGGAAAGCCTGGAAAATGCCTAGATGCCTGTAGACCCTATTAATATCTTGGAGCAGGATTTTCTTCCAACCCCCAGAGCCAGTTCCATCCCTGCCGTGTCCTCAGCACCCTTCCTACCTGGGACCGACATCTCTCACAAGCAGGGGCTGTCTGAATCACTCTCACACCACACCAAGCAGAGCAGAAATTCAGACATCAGCAAATCTAGCCCTTTTGATGATGCACTCTACCATGAGAGATACTAGTAGAAGATAGGGCTGAGGACCAAAACACCTGGGTTCAAATCCCAACTCCACCTTTATTTGCTCCAAGTTCTCGGCCAGATTATGTGGCTTTCCTGAGCCTCAGTTTTCCCATCTGCAAACTGGGGATTAGCAATTACTGTTGTGAGGATTAAGTACAATGATACATGAGTGGCCTGCACAGGTAAACTCTCAAGGAATGTGAGCTTTAAAAATCAAACCAAGAGCAATCCTTATCAGAATAACACCAACATTCTTCACAGAGCTAGAACAAACAATCCTAAAATTGTATGGAACCAGAAAAGACCCCAAATAGCCAAAGCAGTCTTGAAAAAGAAAACTAAGCTGGAGGCATCACAATCCTGGACTTCAAGACATATTACAAAGCTGCAATCATCAAACAGTATGGTACTGGCACAAAAACACTCAGATCAACGGTACAGGATAGAGAACGCAATAATGGACCCACAAATACATGGCCAACTAATCTTTGACAAAAGCTGGAAAGAATATCCGGTGGAATAAAGACAGTGTCTTCAGCAAGTGGTGCTGGGAAAACTTGACAACGACGTGCAGAAGAATGAACCTGGACCACTTTCTTACACCATTCACAAAAGTAGACTCAAAATGGATGAAAGACCTAAATGTGAGACAGGAAGCCATCAAAATCCTCAAGGAGAAAGCAGGAAAAAGCTCTTTGACCTTGGCCACAGCAACTTCTTATTCAACACATCTCCGGAGGCAAGGGAAACAAAAGCAAAATGAACTATTAGGACATCATCAAAATAAAAAGCTTCTG